AAAATGCCATATGATTCAACAACCCAAATTCTGGGTATATATAACCTAAAGAACTGAAAGCAAGGTCTTGGAAAGGTATCCGCATACTCACATTCATAAAAGCACTATGCACAACAGCCAAGGGTTCTAAGCAACCCTTGTCCCTCAAAGGATGTACGAATAAATAAAATGTAGTATATGTAATACTAACAACAGAATGTTATTCAGCCTTAAAAAGGAAAGAAATTCTATCATAAGCTACAACATGGATGAACACTGACATTATACTAAGTAAATCAGTCAGAAAAACAAATACTGTATGAATGCACTTACATGAGGTATCTAAAGTAGTGAATTCATAGAAACAAAGTCAAATGGCAGTCTCCAGAGGCTAGAGGAAGGGAAAAATGTTAAGTTGTTCGATGGGTACAGAGTTTCAGTTTGGCAAGATGAAAAGTCTGCAGCTTTGTTGCACAATAATGTACACTTAAATTAATGAACTGCACACTTAAAAATGGTTAAAATGGGGGACGCCTGGATGGCTCAGCGGTTGAGCACCTGCCTTCAGCCCAGGGCATGATACTGGAGGTTCCGAGATCGGGTCCCATATCGGGCTCCCTGTGGGGAGCCTGTTTCTCCTCCTGCCTGTGTCACTGCCTCTCTGTGTGTCTCTCATGAATAAATAAATAAAATCTTTTTTTAAAAAAAAATGGTTAAAATGGTAAACTATGTGTGTATACATATATATATATATATATGCATATATATGCATTTTTTTGCCACAATTTATGGATGGTGGGGAAAGGGAAAGGGAAATGAACTGCAGAATGCTGTAGACCCAAGTGAAGTTAGAAATCTGAGATTTACAATGGCACTGAGATTTACAATGGCACCAATCTAGAAATGCAAAGATAAAATGAAATGCCCGAAAAAGAGCTTCAGATGCAGTATTTTAGTTTAGAACCCAAAAGCTAGTAGGAAAAGACTTAACTAGATTAAATATATATATATATATATATATATATATATATATATATATATATATATATAAATAGTCGTATCACAATTAAAAAAGAGAGAAACACTTTATTTTTTTTTTTTTATTTTTTTTAAAGATTTTATTTATTTATTCATGATAGTCACACAGAGAGAGACAGAGTGGCAGAGACACAGGCAGAGGGAGAAGCAGGCTCCATGCACCGGGAGCCCGACGTGGGACTCGATCCCGGGTCTCCAGGATCGCGCCCTGGGCCAAAGGCAGGCGCCAAACCGCTGCGCCACCCAGGGATCCCGAGAGAAACACTTTAAAACAGACTCTACACATCCATCCAGCTTCCAGTCTGGCACATAAGGAGCTTAGAAGTAGCCACTCCATCCTACAAGTAAAACGTTGAACTAAGAAAAATCACAACTCTTTTTACATCCATAGGGTAAGTTAGGTAGGTCACTAACTGCACCTCAAAAGTGTAGACAAATACAAAGAATCAAACCTCACCATAGCAGAAACCTCCACAGGAGACAGTGCTAGGGTAGGAAAACCTAAACTGTCATTGACAATTGTTGGAAATAAGTCTGAAATATAAAAAACCCATCACATTACTTAAATTCTACCAAATACATCATGTCGAGATGTAAGGGGAAAAAATGACAAGACTTACTAAAAGGCAAAAAAAAAAGTTTAAAAAGAGACAAGGGGTGACTGGGCGACTCAGTCAGTTAGGCATCCAACTCTTAATTTCAGCTGAGGTCATGAACCCAGCAACTCTTAATTTCAGCTGAGGTCATGAACCCAGGGTCATTGGATTAAGTCCTAAATCCTGCATCCTGCTCCACACTAGGTGGAGTAAGCTTCCATCCCCCTCTCTCTCCCTCCCCCTGCTCTCACACGTGCTCTCTCTAAAATAAATAAATAAATCTTGAAAAAAATAAAATAGAGCAAGCATCAGAATGAGACTCAGATATGCAAGAGATGCTGGAATTATCAGACTGAGACTTAAAATAACTATTTTTAATACACTAAGGACTCCAATGGATAAAGTAAAACAGATAAGCCATGTAAGCAGAGAGAGAAAAATTCTAAGCACAAAAAAAGAAAAAAAAAAAGCTAGGGATCAAAAACATTATAATAGGAATGAAGAAAGCCTTTGATGGGCTTATGAATAAACTGAACATGGCTGAGGTAAGAATTTGCAAGCTTCAGACTATCTCAAAAAAATCTACAAAACTGAAAAGCAAAGAGAAAAAAAAAACAAAACAAAATATCCAAGAATTGTGGAACTATCAAAGGAGTAACATCCATGAAACAGACTACAAGAATGAGAAGAGACGAAGGAACAGGAAAAATATCTGAAACAATAACTACTAGGAATTTCCCCCAACTTAAAATTACACAAAAACCCACAAATCCAGGAAGCTCAGATCCAGGATGCTCAGAAAACATCAAGCAGAATAAATGACAAAATAATAATAACATAATATAAATAATACACCACATATCATATTCAAACTATTAAAAATAAGAAACATAAGGAAAAAAATCTCACCTATGACAGATGCAAAGGTTAAGAATCACACTGAACTTCTCAGAAACCATGTAAGCAAGAAAAGAGTGAAGTGAAATATTTAAAGTTGAGAGAAAAACAACCAACCTAGAATTCAGTACTCCATGAAATTATTCTTTGCAAGAAATGGAGAAATATCTTCTCACACAAAGTTGAAGGAATTTGCTACCAGCACACCAGCCTTACAAAAGATGTTGATTTTTTTTTTTTTTCTGAGGAAGTGTGGAGAAATCGGGCGAATATGTCACAAATGCACCCAGGCACTAAGGTGGCCTGAGCGTTCCGAATGGTCCTGTGGGGAAGCTTTGCATCTGCCTGTGCTGTCTCTCTGTCTCACAGGGCTAGCTGCTCTTCGGTGAGATGCCATGGGCCAGGTCATCCCACATGTGGCGATGTGCCTCTGTCTAGGAATTTCCTTGTGAATCCATGACAATGTGTCTGGTAAGGCACTCTCTAAGGCAACCACTAAACAACTAAAAAAAGTTCTACGGATATGCTAAAAAAGGAGCAAAAAAGTCATAGAAAATACTAAGTGAAAACTACAAAAGACAGAAAAAGACAAAAAATAGGAACAAAGTACAAGGACAATAAATAGAAAACAACAATAAATATGATAGCTCTTAACCCAACTATATCAATATGAACTAAAACATCAAACCAATAGAAAGACTGTCAGTATATTAAAAATTAAGATTCAACTATATGTTGTCTACAAGAAATCCAAAATAAATATAAAAACCCATATAGATCAGGATGCCTGGGTGGCTCAGTGGTTGAGCTTCTGCCTTTGAATCAGGGCGTGATCTGATTCTGCTCCTGCGAGGAGTCTGCTTCTCCCTCTGCCTGTGTCTCTGCCTTTCTCTTTGTGCTCTCATTAATGAAAAAATAAAACCTTAAAAAATATATATAGATTAAAAATGAAGGAAAGAAAACACTAACTCAAAAAGATATATGTATCCCCATGTTCTCTGTAGCATTACTTACAATTGCCAAGACATGAAAACAATCTAAGTGTCCACTGCAAGATGAAAAAATAAAAAAAATTTTTTCCACTGACAGATGAAAAAATAAAAAAAATATGGTACATATATACAATGGAATTTCATTCTAACCATTAAAAAAAATAAAATCTTGCCATTTAAAATAACGTGGATGAATTCAAAGGGAATTATGCTAGGTGAAGTAAGTCAGGAAAGGCAAATACTGTATGATTTCACTTACATATATGGAATCTCAAAAAACAAAAACAAAAACAAAACAAAGACTCAAGGGCGCCTGGGTGGCTCAGTTGGTTAAATGTCTGCCTTCAGTTGAGGTCACAATCTGATGTCACCATAAGACCGCTTCTCCCTCTGCCTGCCCACTCCCCCCCCCCCACTTGTGCTTGCTCACTGTCAAATAAATAAAATCTTAAAAAAAAAAAAGACTCAAGATCATAGATACAGAGAACAGACTGGTCGTTGCCAGAGTTGGGAGGGTGGGCAAAATGGGTGAAGGGAGTCAAAAGGTACAAACTTCCAGTTACAAAATAAATGGGAGTCAAAGGGGATGTAATATACAGCATAATGAATATAGTTAATAACACTGTATTGCATATTTTAAAGTTACTAACAGTAAATCTTTTAAGTTCTCAACACAAGAAAAAAATTCTGTGACTATATACACAGACAGATAGCAACCGTTTCCCTATATGAATATCAAATCATGTTGTATGCCTGAAACTAATACGTAAATAAGTGAAAGTAAATAGTCTGAAAAAGATGTACCAATCTAACACTAAATAAAAGAAAGCAAGAATAGACATACTAATTCAAACAGAAGACTTCAGAGCAAAGAAAGTCATACAGGATCAAGAGGAGCATTACAGCTTGATATGGAGATCAATTCTAGAAGACAAAGAAGTCCTTAAAGTGATATGTACTTAGTATAGTATGTAGGCAAAAACGGACAGAACTGCATGGAGATATAGATGAATACACTTTTACATATAGTTGGGAGACTTCACTTTCCCTCTACCAGAAATAGAGGCAAGCAGAATCAGTAAAAACAATAGCTGAACTAAATATTCATCATCTATCAACTGGACATAATCAACATCTCTAGTCTACTTCATCCAACAACGGAAAACACATTCTTCTCAAGCTTACATCAAACATTCACCAAAATAGACCATATTATGGGCCATGAAACACACCTGACCAAATTTAAAAGAACAGAAATCCTTTATGTTTTCAAACTACAAAGGAGTAACAAAAGAGTAACAAAGGAGTAACAAAGATAACTGAATAATCTTAAAATACTAAGAAATTAAGCAATAAACTACCAAATAATACATGACTCAAAGAAGATAGCAAGAGAAATTTTTTAATATTTTGAAGTAAAGAAAAAAGAAATATACTTACCAAAATTTTTGGAATACAGCAAAAACATTGCTTAGGCACATAGACACAAAAAATTTAACAGTATACAGCCCCCTTTGGTGCTCACAGTGCACCAGTGAGGAAGCTGGGCAATGGTTCAGGGCTGCATGCTCCTCTGGCACAGGTATACTATGAGAGACCCACAGAGAAGAGCCTGCCATCAATACATTACCGTACAGTAGAGATAAATTTATAGCAATGAATGCATGTATTAGAAAAGATCTAAAATTAGTTATCTAAGCCTTCACCTTAGGAAACTATAAAAAAGCAAATTAAACCCAAAAGAGGCAAAAAAGAAAGTAAATATTAAAGCAGAAAAATATAAAATACATAAGATATATAAAACTAATGGCTGATTTTTTTTTTTTTTTGAAAATACCAACAAAACCAATAACATGCCATGAGGGTAATAAGAAAAAAGACAGGGAACACAAATTACTAATATCAGACATTAAAAAGGGCATCACGGGGGATCCCTGGGTGGCTCAGCAGTTTAGTGCCTGCCTTCAGCCCAGGGCATGATCCTGGAGTCCCGGAATCGAGTCCCTGCATGGAGCCTGCTTCTCCCTCTGCCTGTGTCTCTGACTCTCTTTCTCTCTTTCTCTCTCTCTCTCTCTCTGTGTGTGTGTGTGTGTGTGTCTCATGAAAAAATAAAACCTTTAAAAAATTTTTTTAATTTAAAAAAAGAGCATCAAAATATAAAAAATAAAAAAATAAAAAAAGAGCATCACTACAGATCCCATGACAAAAGGGATAATAAGACTATTAATTCAACGCCCACAAATTTGATAGCCTAGATGAAATGCACCATTTTTTTAAAAGACACAATCTGACAAAACTCAGACAAGAAATAGATTACCTAAATAAACCTGTATCTATTAAAGAAATTGCATAAATAATAATCTTCTAAAACAAAAAGCACCAGGTTCACTGGTGAAGTCTACTGAACATTTAATAAGAAAGAAATTACACCAATTCTCTACAATCTTTCAGAAGATAAAAACAAAGAAAATAATTAATTCATCCAATGAGAACGGTATTACCTTATACCAAAACTAGACAAAAACATTACAAGGAAACTACAGACTGGTATCACTCAAAAAACATACTTACAAAAATCCTAACAGAATATTAGCAAACCTAATCCAACAATGTATACAAAGAATCATATACCATGACCCATGATTTATCTCAGGTACTCAAGGTTGGTTGGGCTTTCAAAATCAATTAACATAATCCATCACATCAACAAGTTAAATGGAAAAAAGAAATTTCATGATCACATCAATACATGTAGAAAAAACATTTGACAAAACTAAATACCCATTCATGATTTAAAAAAAAACTCTCGGTATATCAGGAATAAAAGCAAATTCTTCAATAAAGAAAATCTACAAAAACTAACATTATACTTAATGGTAAGAAACTCAAAAGTTTTCTCATTGAGATCAGAACAAAGCAAGGATGTCCTCTCTCTCACCACTCCTTTACACCATCATAGTGGAAGTCCTAGCTAATACAATCACACAAGAAAAGATACACAAGTTGGAAAGGAACAAATAAAAGTATATTTGCAGACAAAACTGTCCATGTAGAAAATCCAAAACAAATGATGAAAATATTCCTGAAAATAAGGAAGTTTGAAAGACACAATAGTAATAAAAAGTCACTTTCCTATATACCAGCAATGAACAAGAGAAATTTGAAATATAAGTTCATATTCACAATACCATTTATATTAGCACCTCCCAAAATGAAAATACAGTTGATCCTTGAACAACGTGGGTATCAACATTCAGCCCAATTGAAAACCCATATATAACTTTTGACTCCCCTAAATCTTAACTACTAATAGCCTGCTACTGACTAAAAGCCTTACCAATAACATAAGCAGGCAATTAACACATATTCTGCAGGTGATATTATACGTTGCATTCTTACAAAAAAAAGTAGAGAGAAAAATTAAAATCATAAAGAAAAAATAATAATAAAGAGGAAATACATTTACAATACTATACTGTATCAAAAAAATTCACATATTAAGTGGACACATGCAGTTTGTTGTTCATGGGTCAACTGTAGTTCAAAATCTAACAAAATATGTGTAAGACCTATAAGAGGATAACTTCAAAACTCTGATGCAAGAAATCAAAGAACTAAATAACTGGAAACATTCTATGCTCATGGATAGGAAGATCTGATCTTGACAATATGTCAGTTTTTCCCAACTATATCTATAGATTCAAGCAATTCCATCAAAATCTAGCAAGTTATTTTGTGGATATCAACAGAGTGATTCTAAAGTTTATACAGAAAGACAGAAAACCCAGAGTTGCACAATACTAAAGGAGAAAAAAATTGGAAGGACTGACAGTACCTGACTTCAATACTTACTATAAAGCTAGAGTAACCAAGACAGTGCGGTATTAGCTGGTCCCTCCCCAAGAAGCTGACAAGATGGCAGAAGTGGAGAAGCAGTAGCTCACCTTTCCCACCTTTCACCTACCGCGGCAGAGACAACCACCTGCTGGACATGCCCTAGGAGCAGTCGATGCAGCTGTACAGAGCCTGGCAGCTGTGGAGGCTATAAACCAGGGTTTGTGGAGGAAATAGCACTCACTGCTGAAGTGCCTGCACAAGGCCAAGAAGGAGGCTCCCTGACAGAAAAGCCCAAGGTGGTTAAGACCCACCTGTAGAACACAATCATCGTGCTGAGATGGTGGGTGTCTACAATGCCAAGACCTTCAACTAAGAAATCAAGCCCGAGATGATTGGCCACTATCTGGGCGAGTTCTCTATTACCTACAAGCCTGTGAAGCACAGCAGACCTGGTATTGGGGCCTCCCACTCCACCCACTTCATCTCTCTCTAGTAGGCTGTTCAGCCAATAAAGGCATAGACTTCTCAAAAAAGAGTGTATATTAGCAAAATTATAAACAGTAAAATGGGACAGAATAGACAGCTCAGAAATACACCCATATAGTCAAGTGATTTCTGACAAAAGCAATTTAGTGGAGGGAAAACAGTCTTTCAACAAAGGGTGTTGGAACTAATATCCAAATGCAACCACAGTAACCATAATAATCTAGACACAGACCTTATACCCTTCACAAAATTTAACTCAAAATAGATCACAGACTTAAATGTAAATATAAAACTGTAAAACTTCTGGAAGATAACAGGAGAAAATCTAAATGACCTCAACATTTGATGATGGCTCTTCATATACAACACCAAAGGCACTATCCATGAAAGAACTGATATACTGTATGTCATTAAAATTAAAAATTTCTGTTCTAAAAAAATTGTTTTGCAAAAGACACTGAGAATGAAGACAAGCTACATAGTGGAAAAAATTATTTGAAATAGAAACATCTGGGGAGGACTGTTTTCCAAAATACACTAATAATAAAAAAACAATCTGGTAGCTAGGTTCCTCCTCCACAGAACCTGCCTCCACTCACTCCTCCGCCTCTAGCACCACCTCCTATCTCCTCAATCCCAACATGTCCTGGGCTCCACATCTCCTGGGGAGCAGCATGACTGAATCAAGGATTCCCCAACCCTAGGTCCCCTTCTCTGTCATTCTCAGGACGAGTCTGACCTGTTCTCAGGAAGACCAAGAAATTGGTATGCTGAGAAGAGGAGTGGTGCAGGAGACTATGGAAGATGGAGAGGGACGGACAAAAGGGCAGAATCTTTAGAAGCAGCAAGTGTGTGGGTTGCAGGAGTCCTGACTGTGTGGAGCCTGTGTGAGACTGTGAGACTGGATGGCAGAGAGTGAGTGGAAGAGTGATGGTGAGGGAGGCCATGATGGTCCTATGATGTGTATGTGTGTCTTTGTATAACGCTGGAGCTGTCTCTTACTTATGGCCTCCTGAAGCTTTCTTTTTTTTTTTTTTTTTTAAGATTTTTATTTATTCATGAGAGACACAGAGAGAGGGAGAGAAGCAGAGACACAGGCAGAGGGAGAAGCAGGCTCCATGCAATGAGTCCGATACGGGACTCGATCCTGGGACTCCAGGATCACACCCTGGGCTGAAGGCAGGCACTAAACCACTGAGCCACCCAGGGATCCCAGCTTTCATTTTTTATATCCAGAAACTTCTTCCCCGCTTCTGTTGTGTAATAAAGAATTTGACTGTTAAAAAAAAAAAGAAAATATGATTTATTTTTTTTTTAATTTTTATTTATTTACGATAGTCACACACAGAGAGAGAGAGAGAGGCAGAGACATAGGCAGAGGGAGAAGCAGGCTCCATGCACCGGGAGCCCGACGTGGGATTCGATCCGGGGTCTCCAGGATCACGCCCTGGGCCAAAGGCAGGCGCCAAACCGCTGCTCCACCCAGGGATCCCAAGAAAATATGATTTAAAAATGAATTAATGATCTAAACACATCTCCAAAAAATATATAAAACCAGAAAATATATAAAAAGATCCACATCAATTTGTTTAATTCCAAATTAAACTGAGATACCATTACATTTATCAGAATAGTCAATATCCAGAGCACTTCCAACACCAAATGCTAAGAAGGTTGTGCCGCTACAGGAAATGCTGGCAAGGTTGTGCTACTATGGAAAATCTCATTTATTCCTGGCAGATATGCAAAATGGTAGACACTGTAGAAGACTGTATGGCAGTTTCTTACAAAACTAAACATACACTTATCATGAGATCCAGTAACAGTGCTCCTTCATATTTACTCAGAGGAGTTGAGAACTTAGATCCACCCAAAAACCTCCCACAAAATGTTTTAAGTTGAATCTTTAAAACCACCAAAATGTTCTTCAGTAGGTAAATGGATAAACTGGGCTACATGCAGACAAAAGAATATTAATATTGTTCAGTACTTTAAAATAAATGAGCTATCAAGTCATGAAGAGACATGGAGGAGACCGGTGCACATTACTGAATGAAAAAGCCAATCTGAAAAGGCTACATAGTGTATGATTCCAACTATATGATATTCTGGAAAAGGAGAAACTAAGGGAACACTAAAAAGATTAGTGGTTGCCAGGGACTGGGGGAAGGATGAATAGGCAGAGCACAGAGGACTTTTAGTGTAATAAAACTACTCTGTGTGACACAGTAATGGTAGACACATATCAGTATATCTTTGTCAAAACCAATAGGTTATACAACACCATGACTGAACCCTAAGGTAAACTATGG